TCCATGTGTACCTGAATAGAATGTGTGTTCTGCTATTTAGGATGGAATGTTCTGAATATATTTGTTAAATCCATTTGGTCCAGTGTGTCCTTCAAAGCCACTATTTCCTTGTGGATTTTCTGACTGATCTATCCATTGATGTAAGTGGGGTGTTAAAGTCCCCCTACTATTATTGTGTGGCTATTGATTAGTTCATTTATGTTACTGTTTTATGTATTTGGGTACTCCCATGTTGAGTGTGTAAATATTTACAATTGTTATGTCTTTTTGTTGGATAGTCTCCTTTATTATTTTGTGGTGTCTTTGTCTCTTGTTATAGCCTTTGCTTTAAAATCTGTTTTGTCTGATGTGTCTGTTCCAGCTTTCTTTTGACATCCGTGTGTATGATAAATGTTTCTCCATTCCTTCACTTTCAACTTCAGGTGTCTTTAGGTCTGAAATGTGTCTCTTATAGGCAGCATATAGAAGGGTCTTTTTTTTTTTTTATGCATTCTGTCACCTATTTTGATTGGAGCATTTAGTCCATTTACATTCAAAATAATTATTGATAGGTGTATACTTATTGTCATTTTGTTACTTGTTTCTGAAGTTTTTCTCATCCTTTCTCCTCTTTCATGGTGTGCTGGTTTTCTTTAGTGATATATTTGCATTCCTTTTTCTTTGCATTTCTTTTAGTGGTTTTTAATTTCTGGCTATCTTTTGATTTGTATATAATATCTTTTGAATATAGCAGTCTATATTAGGAAACAGTTTGCTTAAGTTTGAACCCATTTTTACCATTCTCTCCACATTTAGGTATTTGGATATTTTACATCGTTGTGTTTTGTGAGTTCTTTAACTGATTTCTTACAGAAATACTCATTTTTACTACTTTTGTGTTTCCTGCTTTCTTACTGTCACTTTGGTCTTTCCTTCCTAGTCAATTCTCTTGCATGTCTGGTTTAGTGGTCGGGAACTGCTTTAATTTTTGTTTCTTTGGGAAACTTTCTTTCTCCTTTTATTGTGAATGATAGCCTTGCTGGATAGAGTATTCTTGGCTGCATCTTTTTTGTATTCACTTTTAGTATATCATGCCACTCCCTTCTGGCCTTCAAAGATTTTGCTGAAAATCTGCTGATAGCCTTATGTAGTTTCCCTGGTAGGTTACTGTCTTCTTTTGTTTTGCTCCTTTTTAAAGTTTATAACTACATTTAGACATCTTAATTATAATATGTCTTCATGTGGATCTGCTTTTGTGGATTTTTGGGGGGCATTCTTCATGTCTCCTGGGTCTGGTTATCTGTTTCCTTCCCCAGATTAGGGAAATTTTCAGGTATTATTTCTTCAAACTTTCTACCCCCTTTTCTCTCTCTTATTCTTCTCGGATCCCTACAATATGAATATTATTACATTTAATGGAAGTCACTGAGTTCCCTAAGTCTGTTCTCTTTTTGCATAATTCTTTTTTCTCTCTTCTGTTAAGTTTGATTATTTTCCATCCCTCTGTCTTCCAGGTCATTAATTTGTTTTTCTGCTTCTCTGAGCCTACTGTTTGTTGCATCATGGGTGTTTGTAATTTTATTTATTGCACTCTTCATCTCTGATTGGTTCTTTTTTTATTTCTGCCTTAAGGGTCTCACTGATGTCTTCCACTTTTCTTTAAAGTGCAATACCTTTATGATCATTACTTTAAATTCTCTTTCAGGGCACCTGGGTAGCTCAGTTGATTACGCGTCTGCCTTCAGCTCAGGTCATGATCCCAGGGTCCTGGGATCAAGTCCCACATCGGGCTCCCTGTTCAGTGGGGAGTCTGCTTCTCCCTCTGCTTGTGTGCTCATGTGCTTGCTCTTTCTCTCTCAAAAAATAAAATCTTTAAAATTAAATCAATAAATTCTCTTCCACTCATGTTACTTGTATTTGTTTTGCTTGGATCTGTGGCTGTGGCCTTTTCCTGTTCTTTGGGACAAATTCCTCTGTTTTCTCATTTTTTCTAAGTTTCTGCCTATTTCTCTGTGTTAGGAAAGTCATCTCCTTTTCTTGATGGTAATGGCTTGAGGGAGAAGAGGTCTCTGTAGTGCCTAGCAGTATAGTGTCCCCTATTCTCCAGGACCTGGTGTTTCCACGAGTGTCTGCAGTGTGTCCAGGCCTCTTTATCCTTCTGGCCAGTTGTCTGCAGAGGCTCTCTTTGCCTAATGTGGGCAACACTGTTTAGTCCCTGGCCTGAATGTGGAGCATTTTTAACTAGGTATGCTCTGGTCTGTTTGTGAAATGAGACCTGTTGCCAGTGGAACCGAAGCCCTGTAAAATTCCCAGGTCGGGAGACATGGTGTTGCCAGGGGTTTGCACTGGTCTTCTGGGGGTGGGAGCCTGCTATTCCGGGCCTGAGGCAAGAGTGATTGGGAAGGGGGAAACCACCTGAGGATGGGAAATGGAGTTTGGTGTAAGGATGTTAGGTAGCAAGTGTCTGTTGGGTTGGTTCTCACATGTGGCCCTGTGTTTATACTGAGAGGTGGGAGAGGGAAATGATGCCTACTCGTTCCTTTGTTCTAGGAGGGGTCTGTCTGTGAACGCTGCCTCTCTGGGACATGCTTCTGGATGAGCTCACAACCTCCCCACTGCGTGCCCCAGGTGCTCTGCAGAAAGCTGTTACCATGCTGTTTGCTGGTGGGCTGTTTGCCCTACTCTGTCCAAAGAACAATACTTTGGGGCTTTTCCAGAGCCAAGCACACTGACCTTTAAAATTGTAGGTTCTAAGCTCTGCTGGTTGCCAAAACTCATGAATTTGACTCCTCTCACTTTCGAAGCTAGTTGTTATGGGGATCTTTCTTTCCTGTGTGGCCTCCTCCGTGTGCTAGTCCGGCTCTGACCATAACTCCCACCCCATCACGGCAGCCGTTTCTCTCCCAAACCACGTCTTCATACTTCTTACCTTCTTTGATGTGGTCTCTTTTCTGCCTTTACTTGTGGAGTTTGTTCTGCCAGTCTTCAGGTCGATTTCTGGGGCATTTTGGATGATTTCATAGTTATCTAGTTCTATTCATGGTATGAGGTGAGCCTAGGGTCCTTCTTTTCTGCTTCCATCTTCCCCGCAAATCTCGGAGGTAGGTTTTATATTATTTTGTCCTCAAAATTCTGTGTGGTAAATAGGATTGGACTTTTTTGTTTTGTTTTTTAAAATAGGGAATTGTGGGTTGGGAATGACTTAATCCAGAGTTTTATTTCTAACTTAAGGATTGGGTTTTCTTTTGATTACCTACCATGTCACAGCTATTTAATTAAATACTGAGAAATTATAGAGTATTTTAGCTCTCAAGGAACTCATAGTGCAGTAATCAGTCCTGTTGCTTTTATTTTTCTCAAGTAAGTCTGTTCCTGTTTTTTGGGGTTTTTTGTTTTGTGTTGTTTTGTTTTTCTCCTCCTGCATTTTGCCCTATTAGGATATTCTAGTCACTGGAAAATTTTTTTTAATTCAGTACATTTTTACCCTTGTTCAGGAAATACTAAGTTCTAATTTGAGTATATGCCACTGCATCTGTGAAAAGTAAAACAAAAGAATTAAATCTGCCCTTGAGAATAAGATAATGATCATATTCTTCTTATTCTAATATTTGCTACATTGAGTTTCCAAATCTATGTTGAATGATCAAGTAGCTAACAAACACTGAATAGTACTTCCTGTGTACCAGGCAACATTCTAAGACTGTGCCATTCAGTATAGCAGCCAAATGTGGCTCTTTACATTTAATTAAGATAATTAAAGTTAAATAAGAATAATTTACTCAATTGTCCTAGTCACATTTCAAGGACTCTGTGACCACAAATAGTTAATGGGTAACCGCAATGCAGATACACAACATTTTTATCATTTTATGAAGACCTATTCTCAGGGCTTTAAATAATGAACTCTTTTCATCCTTATAGCAACAATGTGGCAAGTGTATTACTATCATCTGCAGTATACAGTTGTAGAAACTAATGTACAGAATGGTTAAATAACTTGCAGGTAAGTGGCAAAGCCCAGGATTTGAATTCAGGTTATCTGTTTTCCCAGTTTGTGCTTTTAACCAAACCAAGAGACTGTATAATGCCTGTTGAAGTATCAAGTGACTTAATTTCTTTCTAGGCCAAGAAAACAATAGCCAGCGAAATGAATTCCAGTATATACAATAAGAGGATTAATATCTAATTGGAGGATAAAGAGAGATCAAATATTTTTAAATATGTAAAATAGAAGAAACTTTTTAGATTTCATTGATTTGGATGTTCTTGAAGTTCCTACTTCAGGGATGGCAAATATCTGTCCCTGTATCATATTACCAAAGTGCTCATAATAGCATTGCTAATTGACCTTTGCATTCTCCCATCAAACCTAGAGTTTTCTTGCCAACATAACTCAACCTGTTGTTGTCAGACAATTATATTTGCTTGTAAAGTGAAACCAATTTCCTCTGCTTCCTCTGTTATATCAAAGTTTAGGCCAGGTTATGATGTAAAAAATAGCCCCCAAATCTCAGTGGCTTAAAATAAGTACCATAATTATGCTACTTTACCTGTAGGTAATTTTTCTCTCTGTTCCATGTTATTCTCATTCTAGAACCCAGGCTGAAGGAAAAATAGCCCCTACTTTGAACATGCTTTTCTCAGGGGAGAGGGAAAACAAATGGTGAATTATGTGCTCCCTTTTAAAACTTACTTTCAAAAGAGGCACATTTTCCATTTCATTGGCCAGAGAAAACTACATGGCTAAGCTGATATTGGAGAGGAAATTGGTCCTGAGAGGGATGGGCCCAGTAGGAAGGGGCAGTGGTTATTTTGAATAAACAATCCACCACATCTGCTTAGAAGTATTTCTTATCAAGTATATATGCCCTAAGATTCTAATGATAAAATGAATTCTGTATCTTTATAAGCTTACTATAAAATATTTGCCATTGAATCTTTTCAAGTATAATTCTTAGTTTTTGTCTACTAAATATGTTGTAACTTAATGTCTGAGGCCTGTTAAAATTTGTTTCTATCAGGTGCTCGATCCCAGGCAGCTTCTATTTTAACCAAGTTTCAAGAACTCAAAGATGTTCAAGATGAGCTGAGAATCAAGGAGAATAAGCTACAGACTCTAGACGAGGAATTAGCAGGTCTTAAAAACACAGCTGAAAAGTAAGACTTCTGTCAGATTAAATTAAATTTTAAAGTTTCTTTCTGGTCAAAGACTTGCATGGTAGAAAATGAAAGAATTTTATCTAAAGAAATACAACTTTGGCTTTTTTTATAATATCCTTGGTTTTATTTGAATAAATTGTGAGTTGATAACTTATATGTCAGTTATTTTTTCTGATAAAAATAATGTCTTTGTTATAAGAAAATAGGGAAAGCTAATTAAACAAAAGGAAGAAAACATCAGCCAGGTATTTTTCTTTCCCTGTTGAGATATACTGTTAACATTCTACTGGGATTGATGGGGAAATCCATAGATACTCTGGAACTTGATACCAGAGGATACTGGAGTCCTTGATTTGAAATGATAAATGGTATAGCATTGATCAGATGTCAACATTAAGTTTAGCAGCTTGTGGCTGTCTGATAGATAATAAAGATCACGGGGTTTCCCACTGAGGAAGTAAACAAGTTCCTGTCAGAAAGTATACTGTTAAAGTGTTTCCTTACAGTGTTTCTTCTGTGTAGGTGTGGATGTGGGTATGCATGTGTGCTTTTCAACATTACTTCTGTTTGTGTATGATATGGGTAGATACATATTTTTACTTTTTTGAAATTGGGATCATGCTATTTAATGTAACCTCTTTTTGTCAGCTAATGTTATTTACTACTGAGTGTCTCCTATGTCCCAAGTACTCCTTTAGGAGCGGGAATATAGCAGTGAACCAAACAGATAAATCTCATCCTTCTTGTTTTCATATATATAGCTGGGAAAACACAATAAAAAAAGTTAAATTGGTAAAACATATTAGATAATGCTAAGCTCTAAGAGGAAAAATGCCACAAACTTAAAAAGTACATTACTTGAAACTTTCTGATTTTTTTCCAGTCTCTCTGAAGATGACAAATGGGAACAGAGTTAAAATTAAAATCACTTTATTTGGAATTTGCAATACTGAATAAAGGTTAAAATATGTATGTAGATAAACTTCAATATATATATATTTGTAAATTTTTAGCTTTCATTTTCTGAATTATCAAAGCTTGGAATGGTGCCAAAACTTTTTTGGAATACTATACATATGGAAGAGATGGTCATAATTGTTCTAAGATAGAAATTGTATCAGAATGCCTACTTTGAAACAGATACATATGTAAAGCCTGATTTTACCTTCATTAACATAAATTACCAAAAAGTGAATGAACTTTTCTCTGAAAAAGATGTGAAGATTTCTGAGATCTGTGGAAGCTTTGGCAAGGCAATGAGTTTGTAGTTGCATTTGGCTTACTGTTGGATGATCCAATACTACTGAATAAAGTTATTTTACAGAACTGTCTTGTGGACTGATTGTGGCATTGAGGTCAAGGAAAGGAAATAGATTGTTAAAAATATGAGAGTGGAAGGCCCCTGGGTGGCTCAGTCAGTTAAGCATCTGACTCTTGATTTCAGCTCAGGTCTTGATCTCAAGGTCATGAGTTCAAGCCCTGTGTTAGGCTCCATGCACCCTGCATGGAACCTACTTAAAAAATATGAGAGTGGAAAGGTCCTAAAGCCATTCTTTCATGGACTATATTAGGAAAAAAGTTTCTAACTTTTTTTCAAATTTCTGCATTCCACATTTTTAAACGAATTGAGAAATGGCTTGAAAATTATGGTTTTAATTGCTGTCAAGCATTCTCAGGCAAGAATACTCAAGGGAACATTTATGCTTTCTAAGTTGCTTGCTTCCTTCCTTTTTCCTCAGACCTCATGAATTTCTAGTGCCAAGCTTCCTTGTGATTTTATTACAGCTTGAAATTTCACTGCAGCTGAATTAGCTAAATACCTTCCAAAGAAAGAATTTTCAGCAGCTAGAAATGGGCTAGAATTACAGGATTTGCAAGAAGAGTGCACTGTAATGTTTAAGTTCAGTACTGTGCCTTTTTAAACTATCAATCTCATTACAAAATGTAGGGAACTTTAATATTTGAAAATGAGAATTGATAACCAGATTTTTGAAATTTTGTGTGGTGGTTACATTTTAATGTGTTTTTGTGGTGGGGAGCTATTGTGGAGTTTTTCTTCTTGGTAAGGATTAGTAGGAGAGACCATTTTTAAGGGAACCTATTTATTCCAAAGTTATTTTATATTGTGAGATTACTTTAAAGAGCCTACAATTTAAATGCATATCTCAAATATCAGAAAAGTTGCGATTATTTATTGTAAATTTCTCTTTTTCTGAGGTATCGCCAACTAAAACAGCAATGGGAGATGAAAACTGAGGAGGCAGATTTATTGCAAACCAAGCTTCAGCAAAGCTCATATCATAAGCAACAAGAAGAATTAGATGCGCTTAAAAAAATCATTGGTAAGAAAAACATTCTGTGTTTAACTATTTCTACTGATAACCTTACTTTAGACATTTTAGATCTCCTCTTTATTATATATTTATTTGAATTGATAACTAAATATTTTTATTAGATATTACTATTATATTGCCACGTTCTGCCCATTTGCAACAGTATACATTTCCACCAGTGGCAAATGAAAGTTCTCATTTCTCCAAAGCCTTTCTTTTCTGGAAAGACTAAAATATCTCCAAATCTGATTGTTCTGAAGAGATAGCATATTAGTATTTTAACTTGCAGATCTTTGATTTGCTGGTGAAGCTAGGGATCTATATATGTTCCTTGGACCTTTTGGTTTCTACTTCTATTTTCTGAATTTTCTATTTCTTTTCCCCATTTTTCTTTTGAGTTGTTTATGGTCTTTTTCTATTCTCATACTTGAGTGCTGATTTCTTATAGATTATCTGCATTACAAATATCTTTTGGTTTATGTGCTTGTCTTTTAACTTTGTTTATAGTATTTTTATTAAACAGAAATTTTTAATGTTTGACGTAATTCAATTTATAGCCGCCTCTACCCCTAATTTTAAGAACTTGTCTTACACTTAATTAGAATTTAATTGTATAGGGTAGTTTTAGTTTTTCTCATTCTTTAGGACAATATTCCCACTAATATATTTTCTTTCCTTTTTATAAAAGTAATTTACCCATTTTGTTCACTCCCCTACCTCTGCCAACCATTAATCTGTTCTCTGTATGCGTTAGCTAGGATTTTTTTTAATTGGTTAAGATTCCACATGTAAGTGATACTGTATCATATTTCTCTTTCTCTTTTTTAGCATAATGCCTTCAAGGTTCATCCATGTTGTTGCAAATAGCAAGGTTTTCTTTTTTGTGGCTGAATAATATTTCATTGTATATACACATACATTTTCTTTATCTGTTCATCCATGGGTGGATGCTTAGGTTGTTTCCCTATCTTGGTTATTATAAATAATGCTGCAGTGAACATAGGGGTGCATATATATTTTTTTGAGTTAGTGTTTTTGTTTTCTTCAAATACCCAGAAGTGGAACTTTTATTTAGATCATATCTATTTTTTAATTATTTGAGGAACTTCCGTATTGTTTTTCATAGTTGCTGCACCAACTTTAATTCCTACCAACAGTGTGTGAGGGTTCCTTTTTCTCCACGTCATCTTAAGCACTTGTTATTTCTTGTTTTTTGATAATAGCCCTTGTAACAGGTGTGAGATGGTATCTCATCGTAGTTAAGATTTGCATTTCCCTGATGCTTAGTGATGTTGAGCATCTTTTCATGTAACTGTTGACTGTGTGTCTTCTGTAGAAAAATGTGTATTCAGATACTCTACCCATTTTTTAATCAGACTGTTTGGCTTTTTCTTTTGAGTTGTATGGGTTCTTTATTGGGGTATTAACCCCTTATCGATAAATGATGTGCAGATATTTTCTCTCATTTGTTAGGTTGCCTTTTGTTGATGGTTTTTTTTGCTCTAGCTTTTTAGTTTGATATTGTCCACTTATCTTTGTTTTTGCTGCATTTGCTTTTAGTGTAAAATCCAAAAAAAATCACTGCTGAGACCCTTGCCAGGGAGCTTATCACTCATGTTTTCTTCTAGGAGTTTTATGGTTTCAAGTCTTACATTCAAGTCTTTAATCTATTCTGAGTGAAGTTTTATGTGTAGTATAAGGTAGTGGTCCAGTTTCATTCATTTGCATGTGGCTGTCCAATTTTCCTAGCACCATTTATTGAAGAAACTGTCCCAACATTGCATGTTCTTGGCTCCTTTGTCATAAATTAATTGACCATACATGCATAGGTTTATTCCTGGGCTCGTTTTGTTCCATTGATCAATGTGTCTGTTTTTAATGCCAATTCCATACTGTTACTAAAACTTTGTATTATAGTTTAAATCAGGGAGTATAATGCCTCCACCTTTGTTGTTCTTTCTAAAGATAGCTTTGGCTACTCAGGATCTTTTATGGTTCCATACAGATTTTAGGATTGTTTTATTTCTGAAAAAATGCCATTAGAATTTTGATAGGGATTTCAACAAATCTGCAGATTGCTTTGGGTAGTCTGAACATTTTAACAGTATTCTCCCAATCCATGAGTACAGCGTATCTTTCCATTTATTTGTGCCTTCTTCAGTTTCTTTTATCAGTGCTTTAGTTTTCTGTGTACACATCTTTCTACCTCCTTGGTAAATTTATTCCTTCGTATTTTGTTCTTTTTGATGCAATTATAAATAGGATTGTTTTTTTAATTTCTCTGACAGTTCATTATTAGTATATAGAAATGCAACAGATTTTTGTACATTGGTGTTGTATCCTGCAACTTTATTGAAATATATATAATTTATTAGTTCTGACAGTTTTTTTGTGGAGTCTTTAGGATTTTCTGCATATAATATGTCATGTGCAAATAGAGATAGTTTAACTCTTTTCTAAGTTGGATGCCTTTGTTTCTTTCGCCTCATTACTCTGACTAGGACTTCTAGTACTATGTTGAGTAAAAGTGGCAAGAGTCCTCTTTGTCTTGTTTCTGATCTTAGAGGAAAAACTCAGCCTCTCAGGATTGAGTACAATGTTAGCTGTGGGCTTGTCTTGCATGGCCTTTTTTATGTTGAGATACATTTCATTTATACCCACTTTGTTGACTTTTATCATAAATGGATGTTGAAATTGGTCTAATGTTTTTCTGCATCCATTGAAAACATGCTCTTTATCCTTCATTTGGTTAATGTGGTGTAGCATATTGATTGCAGATGTTAAACCAGCCTTGCATCCTTGGAATAAATCCCACTTGATCATGGTGTATCATCCTTTTAATGTATCGTTTAATTCAGGTTGCTGATATTTGCTGAAGATTTTTGTGTCTGGGTTCATCAGGGTTATTAGGCTATAATTTTTTTTTCCTCTGGTGTCCTTGTCTGGTTTTGATATCAGGGTAATGCTGGTCTTATGAGTTTCGAAGTGTGCCCTCCTCTTCTGTTTTTTTTGTAAGACTTCAAGATAGGTATTAAATCTTTGAATGTTTGGTAGAATTCACCAGTAAAGCCATCTGGCCCTGGGCTTTTGTTTTTTAAGAGGTTTTTGATTACTGATTCAGTCTCTTTACCGATTACTAATTGGTCTGTTCAGATTTTGTTTCTCATGATTCAGTCTTTGTAGGTTTCTAGGAATTTATCTGTTTCTTCTAGGTTGTCCTATTTCTTGGTATATAATTGTTCATAATAGTCTCTTGGGGTCCTTTGTATTTTTGTGGTATCAGTTGTAATGTCTCCCTTGTTTTTCTGATTTTATCTGAGCCCTTTCTTAGGCTAGCTTAAAGTGTGTCGATTCCTTCTTTCTTAGAACTGGCTTTTACTTTCATGGAACTTTTCTATTATTTTTTGGTCTCTTTCATTTTACCTTTGCTCTGATCTTTATTTCATTCCTTCTACTAACCTGGGCTTTGTTTTTTGTTTGTTTTTTAGTTCCTTTACATGTAAGTTAGATTGTTAGAGATTTTTCTTGTTTCTTAATGTAGGCAGTTATAAACTTTACTCTTAGAACTGCCTTTGCTGCATCCCATAAAGTTTTGGTATGTTGTATTTCCATTTTCATTTGTTTTAAGGTATTTTTTAAAAAGTTTTCTTTGATTTCTTATAGTGATATTATGCACTGAAAAGTAGTATAGGACATTGTGTAGTCATGGTCTCCAGGATTATATTTGTATCTACATTCTAAAACAGTGTATGGCAGTTGTAACAGTAATATGCTCATTTTATCTTGGTTTTATTTTTTTCTTTGTAAATTAGAGATATTTCTCCTATGCTTAATCCTAGACAAGTTTTCTCAGTATTTCTCTACTTTAAGAAAAGTAGAGAGCAAAGAGTGAGCCAAGAATACAACATAAGCTTATTTATGAAATTAACTGTAAGCCTTTGGCAATTAAGTAAGGGGAAAATACCATAGTTATACTGTCGATTCTGGTTTAAGAAGCATATTAAAGGTATTAAAAAGATGATCTGTGATCTTTTAAGTAAGTTGCAGGTAAAGTTTATTATGTTCCTCAAGTTCATATGCTTGGAAATACTCCCTTCATAGATCTTTAGATGATTCAAGTATGGCTCTTAGGTAGGATCTGTGTTTCAACATAACATTTCTAGAATAAGGTTGGAACAGTTAATTTTTTTAAATTTTAGCCTCCAATTTTTCAGACCATTTCTTCTATTAAAAGATGCATTTATAAGGCATTTATAAACCATTACCTGTAACTACTGATAGTTGAAGGACCTCATTAAGCCACATTTGCCTACTTTATGATGCAGAGGAAAGTGAGGAGACCTTAAAAAACACCAAAGAAATTCAAAAAAAAGCAGAAGAAAAGTATGAAGTATTGGAGAATAAAATGAAAAACGCAGAGGCTGAAAGGGAGCGAGAACTGAAGGATGCTCAGGAAAAACTGGATTTTGCCAAAACGAAAGCAGATGCTTCTAGTAAGAAAATGAAAGAAAAACAACAGGTAATAACCTTTCTTGAAGTGGAACCAATCTTCTGTTGTCAATATAGAGCTGAAGGTGGCCTTACTCATCAGTATTCACCACAACATCTAAAAGCACACTATGGTTCTTTAGGAAATAAAGTATTCATCTTCTAAGTCATTTTGCTGAAAACCTTATAATGGAGGTCATAATTGTAAGGATGGGTTGCAATGTCTTGCTAATTTTAGAGAAAGAGCAAAATTGCCTTTTTGAAAATGCTTCACTTAAGAGTAGACCAAAGCTTGTATCCTGTAGTAGAGCTATGTCCTATTGGCTTGAGTGGTGACATTTCTATTAGGTGATCATCTATGTGAATGGATACTGTGAAACATACAAGACAAAACATGTTACTTTACAAAGTGCCATTCAGTTGTAGACTGGTGCTGAAAACTGCTTTTATCTTTTGGATAGTGCCAAAGCTGGAATTTGAACCTAGACTTTTCTGTCTCCAAAGACTGTGCTCTGAATCACTTTTCTAGATGATTTTATTTAAATCTATTTTTCTTCATATTCTGTCACTAAATACCTGCACAGAGTATTTTCTAACAAACTGAAGGGTATAATGGGAAAGAAGAAAATTGAGAAACCATTTTTTTTTACTTTGAATAATTATGTTTTAAAAAAGGCTTTTCCTCTGCTAATTTATCTTATGTAGAATTCTATATTTTTCTCTGTAGGAATAAAAGGATAAAGGAAATAGTTTATGCTAAGTTCTTTGAACCTGTAAAAACTACATACATTTGTCATCATTTTAAGTGTAGGAAAATAAATTTCCTTTCTCCTTCCTTCTTCAGGGGAAACAGCTTACATGTCTTTTGGTAGTTGAATAACTAAGCTGTGGGTCTTACCTGAATGAGAATCTTAACAAAGTTTGTTGACATGTATGTATTCATTTTTCAGTAATGAATAGCCTGTTGAATGTGTAGATAATGGTTTCTTATAGGAAGTTGAAGCTATCACTCTGGAGCTGGAAGAGCTCAAGAGAGAGCACGCATCCTATAAGCAACAGCTTGAAGCTGTAAATGAAGCTATCAAATCCTATGAAGTACAGATTGAAGTAATGGCAGCTGAGGTCGCTAAAAATAAGGTAATGTTTACTTACCATATTGGAGAAATAGCAAATGTTAATCACTTACAAAATGTTGGCTTGAAGATGTTTGACTTTAGAGGTCTCAATCTCTTCATTCTTGTCTTGATGAGAGGCAAAAACAGTAATTACTGATCCAGAAAGAGTTCTGAAATAATACTAATTGTTTTAGTCTGGCTCTACTCTGAAGACAAAAAGTACACAGTAATTTGAACAGGCTAAGTTTAAAAAACTGACTACATAGGAGTTTGGAATGATGTGTCCTTGATCACTAAAGAGTAAAGAGAATGCTAAATGATATAGGAGAGCAGATATGGGGAGTAGGGCTGAGGAAGTGCACCCATGGAAGGAACAAATCTGGCAAAGAGCCTCATTTTACTTTGTAGGGCTGCAAACCAGATCTAGTTGGAGAAGGCATAACTGTGGCCCCCTGGTGGTGAAGTTTGAAATGCCACATGGGATGCCCCGGGGGCATTGGCCATATGAACATGCTGCAAAGCCCCGCACTCCTCTCCCTCCCCTCCCCCCCCCACCCCCCCCCCCGCTTGATGTTGGTACAGCCATGCAAGCTGCTAGCCCTGGCACATGACAAACTTGCTTTTGAGAAAAGCATGCCAGAACCAGGATGTAAAACCTCTTTCTACAGTTTCCCTACAGCATCCTTTACTGGTGAGGCTGACTATATATATTAGTTGCTGCTGGTGGGGGAGAAATGTTCTGATATCAGAAGCGGGGAAGTAAAGGATTTAGGGCTGAGGGGATTTCCCATGTTAGACATTCTGTCACCTGCAAATTCATATTGTGGTATGTCTTTATTAGAGATTGTCCCTCCTGAATATTGGCTACTCTCTTGTCCCTTTTTGACTTTGAATTGTTTTGTTTCATATTGAGGTATAATTGATATGTATTAGTTTCAGGGGTACAGCATAATGATTTATTTGTATATATTGCAAAATGACCATCCCAGTGAGTCTAGTTAACATCTGTCACCACACAGTTATAATTTTTTTTCTTGTGATCAGAACTGTTACAATCTGCTCTCTCAGCAACTTTTAAATATACAGTACGGTATCATGATAGTTACCATGCTGTTAAAGTTTTCTGTCATGTTGCTATTGATACTATCAGTAAATATCCTTGATTTTCATTTTAACTGAATGTAGATAGCTTTCAAAAAGGGAGTTGCATTCATTTGACATTCATTATGGTGTTTTTGCCTTACTTGAGTCATCTACTTCTACATTTTCTTTTATGTTTTTCCTTTGAAATGATTGTTTTAATGTTGTAGTATGTGGTATTTTGGAAAGTAAGTCTTTCCTCTTGATTCTCTTCTTGGCTAAATTCAAGTTTTTTTGTTTGTAACATATTGGCAAATCACTAGAATAAAGTTTTTACTCTTTTTTTGAAATTAAGAGATCAAAATGCTTCTCAGCTTTGTGTTTTGTGTTGCTGATTAAATTTTCTAGTTTCTCTTCAGTTTCTATTTTGCCTCCAAAGTAAATTTTAGTTTTTTAAAAGTATCTTCAGTTTTTTTCTGATTTGTTGTCTTAATCTCATATTTTTCATGTGGAATTTAAAAATTAGATACGCGTTTCCAAAAATAAATGTGAAAATAAATAATTAGGTATTCCATTCTCAATCTAAATAAAGTCAAAGTTAGAACATGTACCTATTTCCATTTCTCTTTATGGGAAAGTATAAAATGGATCTCTTAGTTTTTAAAGGTTGTTCTTTCAGGCTCTGCATTCTAAATTGTTTCCTTTCCTTGATGAGAGTATCAAAGGACACTCCCAGGAGTCTAAGAAAAGAAACTGCCTATAACTAAACAAAACTAAAATTTCATTTTTGCTCAACCTTAGTGACAGATTTCTATTATAAAAAAGATTAAAATAGTCAAAACTGCAATGCAATTTTTTTTTAAGGATTTTATTATTTGAGAGAGAGCAAGCACAAGCAGGGGTAGCTACAGTGAGAGAGAGAGAAGCAGGCTCCCCACGGAGCAGGGAACCCAATACAGGGCTCGATCCCAGGACACTGGGATCATGACCTGAGCCAAAGGCAGACGCTCAACCTACTGAGCCACCCAGGTGCCCCTGCAATGCAATTTTTAACCTGTAGCCCTGAGAGAATCTTCATAAACATGGTTTTTTTTACATATGGTGTTAGTTAATAAACCTGTGTCTGTTATTTTTCCCTTTGGTTAATATCACCAGAGTATTTTTCACTTGCTTTTCTTGTTCTTCAAAGGTTTCAAAAAGCTAAAATATCTTTAAGTTTTTATTTGAACGCCATGATTTATTTTCCTTTCTCAAAAGACCCTCTAATGACACAGTTTAAACATTATAAGGAATTTAGAGCACTTTGAGAACATTCAATAACCTAACCATAACATTAAGTATTCTTTGTTGCTCAAAATGATAATTTCCTAATGAGCATGCCTAAAATATTGCTAAATTTTTTATTTGTGCTTTTCATCATGAAGAACCGTTCTTCCTCAGATACTTGTAGCAAGTTGTCTTACTTCGGTTTTCCCCCTACCTAAATATGAGTTGAACTAGGTTTTTTTTTGGTTTAGATATTTGTGTGAGTTCTTTTAAGATCTAGGATGAAGCAAAGGGGTTTGCAGGGCAGGGGATTAGTGATAGACTGAATTGCAGTTATAATTACCACTTTGGAGATTGAGTAGCTTCAGCCTTGGGAAGTAGGAGATAATAAAAATCAAAGCAAGAAAATTTTTCTTTGTGCCACAGATCTATTTATTTAGAAAGTTTCTCTTTTATTTTTCTGTTTTGACCCTTGTGCTAGAAAGGGGTTTGCAGGGCAGGGGGTTAGTGATAGACTGAATTGCAGTTATAATTACCACTTTGGCGATTGAGTAGTTTCAACCTTGGGAAGTAGGGAATAATAAAAGTCAAAGCAAGAAAGTTTTTCTTTGTGCCACAGATCTATTTATTCAGAAAGTTTCTCTTAGAATTTTTCTGTTTTGACCCTTGTACTAGAACCAAACATTATGACCTTCCATTGTCACTTGTAAATATGGCTTATAACTATAGAAGGGAAAAGTAGAAAGCCCCAGCCCACATTCTACCCCTCCTGGTAAATGATATTTGGGGATCTGTCATATTATCTTCTCGTTAAGTACCAAAAAATGCTACTTTTCTGAGACCTCAAAAGTCAGATTCCTATAGTCTCTCCTCCCTTCTGCAAGTTGATCCTAACTACACTGTATCCAGCAGAAACTTTGTTGTTGCTTCCAGCATGAATGCTGCATCACATCTTATTTCTACTGGTAAAACAAGTTTTCTCCTGTATGTAAATTAGCCATTTTAATATGAAATGTAGAGGGTTAGGTGACCATCTGCCTGTAATCACATTCCCATCTTCCCCTAAAATTTGTAAGATGATCTTTTAATAAACTAAAAATATGTCCATATTACCTTGCTATATGTTGTCTTCGAATTATGTTTCAGGAGTCTGTAAATAAAGCCCAAGAAGAGGTGACCAAGCAAAAAGAAGTGATAACAGCCCAAGACAATGTAATTAAAGCTAAATATGGTGAAGTAGCAACACATAAGGAACAAAACAATGATTCTCAGCTTAAAATTAAGGAACTGGACCACAACATCAGCAAACATAAACGGGAAGCTGAAGATGCTGCTGCAAAGGCATGTTTGTGTTGTTTATTTTTACCCATAATCAGATTTTTACTTCTGAGTTGTTGAAATATTCTGGTAAACTGCTCAATGAAGAATTCAGTAAAATGGCAGAACTACTGTGTAACAATTTTGAGGCTTATAGCTATTGTAATGGCTTCTCAGCAATGTTCATTTTCACCAAATGGCATAAATGTTTTATTTCTAAATTTCAGGTATTCCTAGCTCCAAGATGTTTTACTGAATAGTGGTCTCCCATAGAACTGACCATTTTTTAATACCCAAGTATTCACAGAACTATTAATATATTAATAGTAATTATATTTCAAAATGAATTAAAAACTCAGAGAAATATATATACAGGCAACTTCTAAAATAAGGACTTAATTGGCTTCCAGATGTCCTTGTGAGGATCTGTACAGTCAATTTTGCAGCCTCATCTGAAATCTGATTTTTTTTTTAAAGGATTTTTATTTATTTGACAGAGATACAGCAAGAGAGGGAACACAAGCAGGGGGAGTGGGAGAGGGAGAAGCAGGCTTCCTGTAGAGTAGGGAGCCCGATGCAGGGCTCAATCCCAGGACTCCGGGATCACAACCTGAGCTGAAGGCAGACGCTTAACTACTGAGCCACCCAGGCGCCCCTGGAATCTGATGTTTTGCTAAGCAGCTGTCTTTTTGAGGTTATCTCAGTTTTTGGTCACTCTTAAAAAGTTTCTTCCTTCTATGTATCACAGTGTCTTAAGTACTTTAAAGAGAATACATGCTTTTGCAGAAATTCATTGCTTGGTTAAGAGGCTGTACCCATGAAGTCTTAGTCTTCTAAACTGTGTAACAGTTTGGTGCCTTTTAAATCTTCTTTAGCACCTTAAAAGTAGAAGAGATTTAACTTCAAAAAAAAGTCAGAACAGACAAAACAGTCACCCTACCCTCTAAAAGAGCCATGTGTGCCTGTTCAGGTTCATTACTTAATTTAAAAAATATAAATATTTTCATAGCCACATCATTAATATCCTAATATTTTATTGTTGATTTCCCATTAGCCTAGTATCCTAATATTAGTGGATTCACTGAAATATTACCAATGTTAATATTGTTAATAGTTTTTTGTAATTGAAAATGCCAGTAGTGGTGATTGCTGGGTGATTTTATTTACAGTTAAGGAAGTGAAAAGGAGACTCACAAGTGGAACTGCTAAAAAGTCAAGGATTCTTTAAAGTATATAGTTTATCAAATATTTATTGCATACCAAGTAGTATAGATAGTAGCCAGGCCCTGAAGATAAGGATAAGCAACTTGTACCCAGAATGCCTTCATAGAGCTTATAGATCATCAGAGAAGGCAGACTGGAAAGGATCCTCTTTGGGGCCTGGAGGTGAGACCGTACCCATGGAATCAATGAGGACAAATGGACAAAGATTCGATTCTACCAGTCAGAACCAACCTTAAACAATTTTAGTAGAAGAAAGTCTTCCTTAAGCACTATAATTTAAAATTTTTAACTGTTTATATTATATAAAGTACATTACTGTGCCTTGTTAAAAGGGAGCGACTAAGGGAATGGAGTCAACATTTAGGGAGTTTTTTATTTAATAATTCTCCTCAGAATTGTCAGTCAGGATTAGGCTTTCATAAATTTACCAAATCTATGACTTAAGTATTCCTATAAGAATTTTAACTTTCACAAGTTGTTTTTGAAGCAATTGATTGAGTTTGGTAAAATGTGAAGGAGCTTTATCTGACTTATATTTCATTCTAACAGAGGTGTTTTACATATACTTTGCATAAATTTGAGCTGGCTGGCTCTTCTTCCAGTGCTTAAGTAATGGGCAGATCTTTTTTTTGAGCCTATCCTCCAGGTAAAAATATCATACTTAGTGTAGGTTTACTGTTCACAGTGATCCTCATTTTTACAAATGAGTCATTGATTTAAAATTACTAAATATTTAAGAAACTTTTTTTTTAAGATTTGAGAGAGCACCAGCAGGGGTAGGGGCAGAGGGAGAGGGAGAGGATCCTCAAGCAGACTCCCTTGCTGAGCTCAGAGCCCAGGACCGAGATCATGACCTGACCCAAAACCAAGAGTCAGAGGCTCAATCGATTGAGCCACCCAGGCGCCCCAAGAAACTGTCTGTTTGTAGACAATGATAGATGCTTCTATTATCCTCTGTGGCTAGGTCTCCAAAATGTTGAAAGACTATGACTGGATTAATGCAGAGAAACACCTCTTTGGGCAACCTAATAGTGCCTATGATTTCAAAACCAACAACCCAAAAGAAGCTGGTCAGAGACTTCAGAAGTTGCAAGAAATGAAGGAGAAACTGGGGAGAAATGTCAACATGAGAGCTATGAATGTTCTGACAGAAGCTGAAGAGCGGGTAAGTCCTTTTCCTTGGACTGGCCACCCAAGTAGCTTCAATGGCTGTCTAGGACCCCGGCAACAAGTACTAGAGGAAATACGTTGCTTGATGCCCTTGATACCGAATTTCTTTCTATTTTCCCTTTTTCAGTTCTTTCTTATTTTATTGTTTTGCATCATTAATTATTTATATATTCTGTTGTACCTTGAATAACTTTTCTATTGGCTTTGCCACAAACATATTCTACCCTTTTCTTATTCTTGGTGTAAATAAAAACTCTTTTTGTTCTAGTTAACTTTTCACATTTCTATCCTTTCTTTCACTTGCCTTGAAAGGGCTTTGAAAAACAAGGTGTACTCTGCTGTCTGCCTCCTTACTAGTCATTCCATAACTGTTGTCTTCCTTTTGACTCTAGGGCATACTAGAACCAATACCTAAGTAATGGCTAATACTGTTAGATGCATAACCACCCCTCTATTAATCTGTAAGTCCAGCAGCATCTTCTGTTTTAATGCTCACTTACTTGATAATGTTATTCATTTCCCCAGCCCTGACAAAACTTTTATAGTCTGCCATGTTACTAGAAAAATCCACAGAGGAAAGCAATCCGTATTCTTGACAGCTCCATAGGAAATAGCTGTCTGAGTAATTTTGTTATGCCTTATACCACCTTTAATTTTGCAAAATTCTGTTTGAATTTGTATCATAGAGTTATGAGAGCTCTCTAAAAGTGGTAATACTTATGAGCTCAATTACTTTTAAGAAGTTTTGCTATAATGGGGTTTTTTGTAATTGTTATTGACATTAGTGTCTACAAAGAATATATATTATGTTAGACACCAAATAGGCTAATAATGCTCATGTTGTGATCTATCTGTAAAATGTTCTTGCTGGTTTTTATTTCTCCATTAAAGCTTTGCAATATATGCCATATTTGTGGAGGAAAATCTTTGGTCTGAATTTGAACTGCATATCGTGAAACTTATTCACTTGTTTGCTTTTATTAGATAATGATAACTCGTCTAATATTTTTTAAAAGAATTCTCCAACTCCCATTTCCTTACCAGAAGGAAAGGCTCTGTCGTTAAGATGGCCTTTTGTTTTGTTGTATTTTGTGTTTGTCCAAATAAGAAGCAACATGGAATTATGAAGGAATAAGAGAAAATTGTAGAGAGGAGTTTTAGGAGCTTGGCCATTAAGCAGAGAGACAGCAAGGAAGCGAGCAGGACTGGCTAGAACTTTTCAGGGAGAATTTGAAGCCTCCTTTGAAGCTTTGAGAAATGAGTTAAGAGGATTTTTAGAAAGTTCTGCTGCTACTCATGGTGTAATTATCCCTCTGCAGCCTCCCTCAAGTTTTTTTCAGTGAGTTTCTACATTCACCAGGAAAAGACCACTCTGAAGATGTGATATTTGAGCTGAAACTTGAGGCACCAATTATGTCAGATACAGAGAAACAGCATTCTGGGAAGAGAGAACGATGCAGGGGCTAGCAGGCTGTAGTGAGCTTATTATGTTCAAGGAACTGAAAAAAAGACCATATGGCTGGAGCCTGGGGAGGACTGGGATGCCAAAAAGTCAGATAAGTAAGGGCCCAATTCTGTAGGACTCATCATACATCATGATGAGGAGTTGAACTTTTGTGTCACTGCTAAAACTGACCTTAAGAAGAAAGCATGCCAGGGCTACTTTTGAGTTTACATACGACACATTTTTCCTTTTTTGCCTTGGCTGCTAGAAAGATCTGGTGGAGCTTGTCCTATAAATTCTCAATAGCAACTAAATTTTACCTATAGGTGATATATTTACTTTCATGATTTGGTTTACATTATAACTCTTAATGCAGTATATCTTTCTGTTACACAGGAGTGTACATATTATATATAAAAATTAAACCTCTAATCCTGAATTCTAGAATATAAAGAAAATTTTATATTTTTCCAATTAAGTATGCTTTTTATCTTACTAGTATAATGACTTGATGAAGAAGAAGAGAATTGTAGAAAATGACAAATCCAAAATCCTTGCAACTATAGAAGACCTTGACCAGAAGAAAAACCAAGCCCTAAATATTGCTTGGCAAAAGGTATTTGAACCAAAAATATTATCATCTATTCTATATGAGGAAAGGATGAAGAATGGTCAGTAGGTTTATACACTAAGATGAATTTAAAATGGATGATTTGCACACACTCATGCTTTAAAACCTTCTAGACTTGACTGCTACCAATTTGCAAAGGTAAATTTGTGTCCCTCCATCATACTCTCACAGTCTACTTCTCTGGTTCCTAAGTTATATTAAATTTCTAACTTTCTAGATTTCTTTATTTTCATTCTTAACCTTGTTTCCACATCTGTGTTACTTTCAAAGGAGATACCATTTGTCTGAAACCTTAGATTCTGTCCAATTTCTGCCATACCCCACCGCTGGGAAGCTGGAAGCAGTCTCAGTTTTGCACTGGGGAAGCTCTGATTGTTGGAAAGCACCTCCCGAGGACCCCTTTGGTTCTAACTTCCTTGGTTTCTCTGGCCCAGGCTCACAGAGGTCAAATATTCCTTCTCTCAGAACATTACTCTAACAAGATTGGCATATTCCTTACCACTTACAAGTTACTAATTGCATTTCAGAATTCATAATTATGCATTCTGTAGGTTTTTAGCAAAGCATTTTGTATGTTAAATTAATAATTCCATAACTGATAGTTAGCCATCCATATTTTATAGATGAAGAAATCAAAGCCTAGAAAGTTGAAATAGCCTAAGATCATATAGCCAAAGGTGGAAAAACTGGAATTCTTTTTCTAAATTAGAACCAAAGTTAAAATTGCCTTTAGTTGTTAACTGCTGTCGTCCTTGTTGCCCTTAAAAAAAATGGGCAGTAAGCAAGGAATGGGCAGTAAGCAAGGAAGTTTAGCAAACTTTAGCAAACTGCTGTCATTCAGCAAAATCCGAAGTGCCTTTTTTGTTTTATCTTATGACAACTTTGGCAGATTTCAAGATTCTTTACTATTATTTGTACTTCCCTGACTGCATGTATTTGTCTCCTGTAGGATAATTCCTTAGCCTCTTATGTGAAAGTTTTCCTGTATCTGTCCTAGCAAAAGACTCTCAGCCCAAAGATTCCAAACATAGTTACTGTGCTGTTTGGTACTTCAACAGTCCCAAGCCTCTGGGATTTAATTGGGCACCTTGCTTCTTTTTTGCTTTTTAATTCTGTAATTATTCATAATTCTGAAAACTTCATTTTCAGTAATGGCAGCATAATTATCCCTTTCAGTCACCTTGTTTTTACTACTCTGTAACTTATTTTCAGTGTTCCATCTCTCTGTGGTGTTTGTTTTAAAATACATGCAAAAAGTTGGTCCCATTATTCTTGTATAAATGTGGACTTAACACTGGATTTGAGAGGTTTTGTCTCTTGTTTTCCCCATGGTTCCTGGACTTAGTGCAAGCACAGATTTATCCTTTAAATTGATGTTCCCCCAATTTCCAAGGTTCTCTCAAAGCAGGTAAATTTATTGAATACTTATTGTATGTCAGGTACCATTCTCATATTAATTTTCTCATTTAATCCTCACAATAACCTATTGAGGTAGTTGTGTTATTATCAGCATTATATATTTCCTTCTGGCTTCCAGCACACTTCATTCAGAAAGCCAGAGTATTTTTGGCATTGGCTATGTTTATTTTTGTTTCCTTCTTAACGTATTGGATTTTCAGAATTTGATTGCATTTCACCTTTTTGTCTGTCCATGAATGTAGTGCATTTTCTATCTTTTTTTTTAATTTTTTTATTGTTATGTTAATCACCATATATTACATCATTAGTTTTTGATGCAGTGTTCCATGATTCATTGTTTGTTCAAAACACCCAGTGCACCATGCAAAACGTGCCCTCCTCAATACCCATCACCAGGCTAACCCATCCCCCCACCCCCCTACCCTCTAGAACCCTCAGTTTGTTTTTCAGAGTCCATCATCTCTCATGGCTCGTCTCCCCCTCTGACATACTCCCCTTTTCTTCCTCTCCTGTTATCTTCTTTTCCTTTTTTCTTAAAAAAAATATGGAACGCTTCACGAATTTGCGTGTCATCCTTGCGCAGGGGCCATGCTAATCTTCTCTGTATCGTTCCAATTTTAGTATATGTGCTGCCGAAGCGAGCACTGCATTTTCTATCTTGAATAGGGCTATATTCTTCTCTGCCCATTAACTGATAAGTTTCTCTTTTACCCTTTGGAGGAATTTCCACATGGTATCCATGGTCATGTTAAGGGTTTAGTAGTAGTCTACTGTTTTAATCCTCTGTTCAGTGCTTTTCTCTTGCCTGGCCAAAAAATTTAAGAAAAGAAAAAGAACCAAAGGTGTTTATAAACGCTGCTATCTTTATCATTCCCAAAAAAGACAGTGGTCCTCTCCATTGTGATGAACCTCACTTAGCCCTAGAAATCTATCCCAGATAAAACTAAAACCTATTAACTCTGTAGAATATTACTCAGCATGTAATGCAATTGCTCTTAAAACTGTATTCCTTAATACATCTGTATTCAGTAGCACTGATTGATTGTATCTGGATCTCATTAGTACCAATATTCATGCACTTGAATTTGGGGATTTCTCTGGAGACCATGACTGTCAGATCCTCATGGGTTTGTGCCTGTGAATGTACACACTCAAATTTGATGAACTCTAAGATTATTAGTTGTGTATTTGAAGACAGATGACCAAATTCTCAAATCATTGATCAAGTGTGTATGCACAGAAATTACCCAATTACAATTCAAATATTGACCTAAATCTCTAGGTAATCTGTGGCTTAATGGGGATAAACCAGACAACTTCTTTAGCCTTTTTCTGTTGGGGTCCAGTCCTGTTCCTGTCTTTTGACAACTTCTTTGGCTGAGAAGAAGCCTACAGAAAAGGACCATTCAACACCTTGAACAGATCTGGTGGTTTGATTTCATGCATCTTTTTTCCTAGACTTCACCTTGATCTTAGGCTTTTTAAGGTTGGCTGATAACCACTGGCCTATCAAAACAGTCAAAAGAAAACAAGTTTTATAAGAGAACATTTTATGCCAAAAAAGAGTTTTTCTTTTCTGCCTCTCCCAACTGCAACTTCAGTTTCCTATGTTATACAGTTGTGTGTCTCTGAAGATGCCTATAATATAGCTTACAAAAGTATCAGAATTCCAGGGTAGAGTTAGAAGTATAGCCTTTAGTTCCCCCTTGGAAGTTAGAGCAGAGCTCAGTAAATTTTTTGTGTAAAGGGGCAGGTAATAAATATTTCTGGCTTTGTGAGCCATATAGTCTCCGTTGCAATTACTAGACTACTGTTTTAGTGCCAACAGCCATAGACAATATTTAAATGACTGGGCATGGCCAGATTTGTCACATGGGCCATAATATGTCAGAACCTGAGTTAGTAACAGACAACAAAATGCATCTGCTAGATTGAATATATACATACCAACATTTGATTATTCTTGGAAAGCTTTCCATAATATTTTAATCTTTTTTTTTTTAAATCCAGGTGAACAAGGACTTTGGGTCTATTTTTTCTACTCTTTTGCCTGGTGCTAATGCTATGCTTGCACCACCAGAGGGGCAAACTGTATTGGATGGTCTGGAGTTTAAGGTTGCTTTAGGAAATACTTGGAAAGAAAACCTAACCGAACTTAGTGGTGGTCAGAGGTAAGTAATCCCTTTGCAGTATTATAATTTCTCATTCCTCTTAGTGTATTATAATCCATCATGATCTCACAGCTAAGCAAAACAAAATTGAAAATTAGGTCATCTTTACATGTAGAATTTAAGGAGCTTAATATGTAAGACTGCAGATTTTTTTAAGAACATTTGATTAAAATAGTAGGCAACAGGGGTGCCTGGATGGCTTGGTTGAGCATCCAACACCTGATTTCAGCTCAGGTCATGATCTCAGGGTCATGGGATTGAGCCTCACATTGGGCTCCACGCTCAGTTGGGAGTCTGCTTGGGATTCTCTCCCTCTCCACCCGCTTGCATGTGCGTGCTCTCTCTCAAATAAATAAACAAACCTTTAAGATAGTAGGCAACAAAGGAGAAATAAGGATAAGCGATTAGAAAACTCGATAAAATATATGAAAAACAACTGTTTTCAGACTTTGGGAAATGAATAGGCCAAGAATATGATACCTGAGAGCAATGAAACAAAAGTGCTGAGCTCAGTGTTCACCCCAGCTTTCTCCATAGGACAGTTTCTGGTTTGCAGGTGCAGGGAGGGGAATCCATACGAAGGCTAGTAGTCTTACTAAATTAAAGAAACAGATTAGAACTTTGGGAGGCCCCCGCTTAGCATTCAGTCTGTACTGTTCCCGAAGTGAAAGCTACTCTACATACACAGCAGAGTTCGTCACACACCCTGAAGAGAGCAAGCTGATCCTCATGCAACTTGAGACTCTTAACACAGTTTCTGGCATCTGATAAAAAGCACTGGACAGAAATCAAGAAAATGTGACTTATAGCCTAGAGAAAAATTATTCGATGGAAACATCCAGAAATGACATGTGATAAAAATAGGAGACAAGGAAGTTATAGAATTATGTTAGTTATTTCCAAGAATTACAGGGGAAAAAGAACCTAGTAGAATTTCTGGAGATAAAAAAATATGCCTGAGAGGAAAAGTTCACCACATGACATTAATAGATTAGACAGTGTAAAAGAAACATGAATGACTTTGAAGGCACAGCAAATAGAAACTATTAAAGCTAAACTGAGAAACACAAAACTATAAAAACAGAGCTTCAGTGACCATCAAGCCGTCTAACATACATGTATTTGGAGTTCCAAAAAGAAAGGAAGAGGCAAAACAGAAAAATACTTGAAATAAAAAATAAGATTTTCCCAATTTGATGAGTTCTATAAACCCACAATCTTCATTTCTGTGAACCCTCGCTAGGATAAACACATCCCCTACCCCCCCCCACATACATACAATAACACAGCAAAGCATGTTATATGAAATTGTGGTTTTTATATGCCAATGATTAGAAAAATATTAAAGCAGCCAAGGGACAAAGATAAAAATGGCTTCGGGCTTATTGTCAAAACTGCAAGCCAGAAGTCTGGAACAACATCTAGAAAGTGCTAAAAGAAAAGCATGTCAACCAAGAATTCTATGTCTAATCGAACTATTCTTTAAATTGAAGTCAATATAAATATTTTTTTCAGAAAAGCAAAAGCTAGAGGAGTTTGATCCCAGCAGAACTGTACAAGTTAAAGGAAGTTTTCAGGTGAAAGGAAAAGGATTTACCAGAAGGAAACTTGGGTCTACATAAAGGAATGAATTCAGATAATCAGCATACTAAGGAGAAACTTAAGAGGTCATGTGGCCTCCCTCCTTACCTGCTGCAGAGAACCAAATAATTAAAACCTACTAAGAGAAAATTGTGAATATTCACATTAAAGATGGTTATTAATTTTTTATTTTTCCCTTTCAGGATGTGCAATCCTAGTCCTTAAATTGTTCTCATGTGCCATATGATGCCATCATGTTACTCTTACATATGTAGAAAATACTAAGACCTGTTAATTTTCCTTGTGAAATCCTTTGTCATTTTTATAACTAGAATAGTGGTCCCTTGATTTATTTCATTATAAGATTCCTAAATATTTTAACAGCATAAAATATATTCTGGTGACTGTTAAAATTGAATTCCAGAGTTCAGATCCCAATATCTAACTTATTTTGCCAAAGTCCTAGAAAATATTTTGAGGAAAACCTAAAATGTATGCTTATTTTCTTATTGGGACCTGAAAATTATTTCCATAATTAAGATACAAAATTATTTTTAGATATATACCATTATTTTAGATGTATATCCAGCACAGTAGTTTTAACTCTTGGTGAGATTTTTTTTCTGAAAGATTAAGTTGGAAGAAAGCTCAGTGCTGTAAGCATTTGGCACAGAGAAGGCCAATGAAAAATAATTTTAGGTTGCTTGAATGACCTCAGCTCCCCTCTCTTGAGATAGAGTCAGTCTCATTGTTTTTTGCACTGTTTCATACATTTCCCTTGCTAGATATTTTGGTTTCACCTTAAAAAAAAAAAAGGCTTTTTTAAATAAAATGTTTAAGAAAAAAATATAAGAATTATTATGATTCTGAACAAAACCAGCTACAGTTACAGGGGATGGTTAGCAAGAAGAGAACTGAAAAAGACCTATAGAATCTGAGATGCCCAACTACAAATTTTAAATAAGGTTTATTATTAGGGTTCTCTGGAGAAACAGAACCAGTAGGGTATGTCTGTGTATGAAGAGGTGGTTTTATAATAAGGAATTGGCTCATCTTATTGTGGAAACTGAGAAGTCCCACGGTTTGTTGTCTGCAAGCTGGAAGTCCGGGAGGACCAGTGGTGTAATTCAGTCTGGGTGTGAAGGCCTGAGAACCAGGAACACTGAGGCAGAATATCCATGTCCCAGCTCAAGTAACGAGGCAGGAAAGAACAAATTCTTTCCTCTACCTTTCTTAATATTGAGTCCTTCAGCAGATTGTGTGATGTCCACCCACATGGGAGAGGACAAACTGCTTTACTGAGTCTTCCAATTCAAATGCAAATTTCACCCAGAAATACCCTCACACACAAACCCAGAAATAAAGTTCAGCCAAATATTTGAGTACTCCGTGATCCAAATAAGTTGACACACAAAATTAACTATCACATAATAATTGTTTGAACTAATGACACTGGGAAGTAATGGGCTATAATCTATACAACTTACTCTTAAATGGTGCCAATAAAAATGTGTATGTGTGTATGTACTCATAGATGCATGCATAGTAAAAGTTTGAAAGAGGGCCAAACCAGTTACAGTATCACGAAGCAGTAGCTGTTGTCTTAACCAGTAAGTATATAGCCCTCACTCGCCTGCTACCTAGGCATCTAACAGCAGTTGGGGAAGGAAAGAGAATACTTAACATGATCTTTCCTTAAGAATAAGTGCCAATTATCCTGATTCTTTGATTGGAAAGAATATAAACCTGTTCAAAATAAAACTCCATTGAAGAGAAAAAAGGAAAAGTCAAAATAAGAGACCATTTTAATACAGCAAAAATGTTGAAGTTTGAAACTTAACATTCTTTATTTCTGTGGTGATCTTTCAGTTAAATCTGCACTATTCCATAATAAGAGGATAGCAGATTTGTTCTAGTGTTTTGGTGAAGAGTGGTAAAATCAAGTTTTGATAACTTCTCTTTTGGTCTTTTTTGCAGGTCATTAGTAGCTTTGTCATTAATATTATCCATGCTCCTCTTCAAACCTGCTCCAATATATATCCTGGATGAGGTAGATGCAGCCTTGGACCTTTCTCACACCCAGAATATTGGACAGATGCTGCGTACTCATTTCACACATTCTCAGGTAAGAACCAGAAAAAACGTCTCCGGGATAGTTTTAGTTATTTGTTCTTCGGAAACTATTCTTTAGTAATGGCTAATATGAAGATATTTAGGATTGAGAAATATTAAAGCATTGTGTATCTCTTTAAATATATAGTGAATATTTACATATACTTACATTCAAATGGATGTAGAAGGAAAAAAGGTTTGGTTTCCTATTAAAGAAAGAGCCAGGCGTTACCACTGTTGGTTGTACCCTGAGGGAGAATCTCATGTTTTCCATAAGTTGGAATTATGGAAATCTCATAAGTTTTCCATAATTTGGAATTAATTTATGGTTAACATTATTTTTTTCTCTAGCTAGCTGCCAGAGAATACACAACCAAAGCAAGACTGTTTTAGGAAATCAGAAAATCATGTGGTACTTGATGGGGGCACTCGTCATTTTTCCTGAGTAGGAAATAGAGAAAAGCCCCTTTATTTAAGAACAGTTTGTTTTTATTGAACTGTTGCTGCAGGAGCTGGGGCTGCCACATATGGTTATATTGATAATGCAACATACAACTCCAGGGGGCTTCACTTATCGTAGTTATCACAGACTATATTATTATGGTAGTCTTTTTAGCAGGTAACAGTGAAGTGGTACCCTTCCTTAATTCTGTAAATGTTCCATTTGAGCTAGTGGTAGTGCTTGTAGGAACTAGTAGCATTCTTTGATACTCTTAAAATTTCAGAGAGAAAGCTATTTCAGCAGGGCATTTAGAGCTAGCAGCAAAACAGTGATGCCAGCTAGCTGCAGAGGACAGCAACAAGCAGTCAAGCAGCAGGAATTAGTAAACCTGGGTAATGACGCACTCCAGGTAAAATTAAGAGACTCCTAAAACCAAATTTAGAAAGCTAGAATTCATCTAGGTGCCCAATATTAGAACTATTTGTTACTTGCATTTGAGGATGGTGCATTTGCTTTGAGCTAAGCTTTGAAAGAAATAACAAAATCAGCATATCTCCAGACAGTTCTTAACCCCAGAATAAAAACAGTAGTGCATTTCTTCAGATTACAAAAAGTATCTTTTATGTTTTCTCTTTTTCCCTTAAGTTCATTGTGGTGTCACTGAAGGAGGGTATGTTCAACAATGCAAATGTCCTTTTCAAAACCAAGTTTGTGGATGGTGTTTCTACAGTAGCCAGATTTACTCAGTGTCAAAATGGAAAGATTCCAAAAGAAACCACATCCAAGGCAAAAGGACCCAAATGACCACATCTGGAAGTTAAAAGTACAAATTTACTCCTTCACCTTGACCTGTTTTTTAAACAAAGAACTTTGGCTTTACTTATTTATGTAAAGATGTAATGTTTTGTTACTTAACCCATATCTTCTCTTCCTTTATGTAATCTCTTATAAATGAGTATAGATTCCTCTCTTCTTAATTAGTGTAACTGTGGTCCAATTACTGTGATTGTGATTTTATGCATGTCCTCAAATGCTTTTTTCTTACGCAGTTCTTTTAGATATAGATATAGATATAGATATAGATATAGATATAGATATAGATAGATATAGATATTGGGGAGCCTGAGATACATGGTTGGTGGTAAATTCTAAAAAATCAAAGAAACAGATGAAATTAAATTATAGGATAAATATAGCTGATAGTCAGCTTTTAATTCGTTTCATTCCTAAGGTAATATTAGTGTGTTTTCTGTTGTTAAGAAAGTCATTTAGGTAAGGAAGACTTATAAAGCAAGTATCTGGACCAACAATGGGAACACAAAGGACACTGTTAGGCATGCAGGAGCTGTTTGTGGTTAGTTCTGTGAAGATACAATGCCAAGAGCCCTGATGTAGACTCAGTGATGTTTGGATATCATGTTTCTATATGCTTAGTAATTGGTCTGTGAAATCTTAAGTTTTTCAAAAGTCTTCACCGGTTTTTAATAGAAGTCTGGGAGAAGGTCTGTTGCATGCTGCCCTCCACGTTTATCTGAAGTCTCCTGTTTTCAGAGATTTTTGTCAGGCTTTTCATAGTCCAATCAGTACAATCTATTGGTGAATGAGAATGTATTTATTTTTCCTTCATTCTGATACATTTATAAAAAGATCCATCTATTTTACCAAAAGAACTCAAAATTTGTTGATTTTTATATTTCTTAGTGTCTTCTGCTTTCCAGTTCAAAAGGTTGAATTTCCTTTAAGAACTCAAAGAAGCACTACCACCCACCATAAGATTACTGTATGTAGGTCCTATTATCTCTAGGTACATCGCCAGAGCAGTGTCTCCAAACTTTGAATCTTGAAAGCTCTCATATGATCTAATCCCATCTTGAGTGTGTTATTTTAGCCCCACATCCCTTCTTGATACTTGAGTCTTACTAGTTCCTTTATGTTATCCTTCCCCTATATATGCTTATAGTTCTTGACCTTGGCTTTAACATTTCTCATCCTTCCTTCTCATGTCAGATAACACATCGGAAAGGATTGAATCTGGAATTAGTTCTTGTCCATTGTGGGAGGAGAGGGAGACAAAGCTGTAAATGCTGAAGTACAGGAGGTCTAATACCACATATGAGACAAACAGGAGTTTATTTCCTCTCAAATGCATTGCATATTGTTTGCCAGTCAGTTCACACTTGCAGCAAGGTCACGTACCTGTTGACCACAACCCAGTCAGCACTGGCTATTAGTTTTATTACTTCTGATTTGTTAGTTATAAAATGGTACTTCATTGCTGTTTTAAGTAGCACTTTCTCAACAACTTGTGAGGTTGAATATTTTGCCATATGAACCAATTTTCTTCACTGCAAATTTTCTATATGTTTGCTTCCCTAATTTTTGTCATATATAATCTTGCTCTTGGATGAAAATCCTCAAACATTAAATTTTTGTGAGTCATGTTGACTAGAAGAAGACATGAAGGGGAAATGAGGACATTTATTTCACAGATCTGCAATAATAGGAGTAACTGACATTTACTTAGCTCTTATACATCAGATGCTATTCTCATTTGCACATGTTTTCACATTTTGAGGTAAGTACTGTTGATCGGCATTATATAATTGAGGAAATTGAATTGAGCAGACAAGTTAAGAAACTTGTTCACGGTGACAGTACAGTTAGAGGCAGAGTCAAGATACCAGTCTTGGCAGGGGTCTCCAGAATCTATGATATATTACCCTTCTGATAGTTGGAACATTTGTGTTTATTGTACATAATAAATTTAAGACCCACCTCGATGAACAGTATGCAAAATGTGAGAAAATTATTTTAGGAAGAATGTCAAACATTTGAAAAGGATTTGTTTGGTTTGTTTGGGCATTTCAGGTACACTAACAAAGGCAAAAGCAAAAACTTGAGAATCCTTTTTCTAATATGGTAAAGTAATCAAATAGGCCAGCCACTTCCACAATCATGTCATCTGCAAATCGGGGCAGGTTTTCTTCCTTTTCTTAACTGCCCTGGCTTGAAGTTCCAGCCCAGTGTTGTATAAGAGTAATAATGAGAGCTGGCATATTTGCCTTTTCCCCAGAATTCTGAGGAAAGCATTCAGTCTTTCACCACCTAAATGTTAGCTCTAGGTTTTTGGTTTATATTCTTTATCAAGATAAAGAAGTTTCCTTCTATTCCTAGTTTGATCGGTTTTGTCATGGATGCGCTATTGAATTTTCATTGCCCTTTCTGCATTGATTGATATGATCATGTAACTTCTTTAACCTCTTAATATTATGAATTACATTACTTAATTTTTGAATATTAAACTTGTCTGGTATTTCTAAATTAAACCCCATTTGGCCATGGTCTATAATTCTTTTTATGTATAGGCATACTTTGTTTTATTATGATTCACTGATAACCGCGTGTTTGTTTTTTTTATACAAATTGAAGGTTTGTGGCAACTATGCAGCAAGCAAGTCTGTCAGTTTGGTAATTCCCATGATAATTTCAAATTTTTTATGGTGATCCATGATCAGTGATTACAACTCAAAGCTTAGATAGATGATGGTTAGCATTTTTTAGCAATAAGGTATTTTTTAATTAAGGTATATACATATGCTGTCACACACTTAATAGACTTATAATTTTGATATGCACTGGGAAACCCAAAATTTTGCCTTGTGATACTTGCTTTGTTGTGGTTGTATGGAACAGAACCTGAAATAGCTCCAGGGTATGCCTTTATTACAGGATTCTGTTTGCTCATAGTTTGGTTGTGATTTTTGTGTATGTTCATGAAGATATTTCTTTGACCAGTATGTTTTCTTTTTCTTTTCTTTTTGTTTTTCCCTACTGGCTTTCTTTGGTTTTGGGGTAATGCTACCTTTATAAAATGAATTGGGAAATGTTCTTCCATTTTCTGTAGAATTATATAGAATTTTTCTTAATCCTTTAAATATCAGCATCCTCCTCTGAAACTGGGCCTAGAGATTGGGGGGTGGGATGGGGAGAATATAAAGTACAATTTCTTTAATAGTTATGGGGCTACTTAAATTTATTTTATAATGGGTGACTTGTGATAGTTTGTGTTTTTTGTGGAATTTTTTTCCTTCTAAATTGTCAAATTTGTAATTTGTGTAGCGGTCAGGGTATTTCCTCATTATCGTTTTGATGTCTTCAAGCTCTGAAGTGGTATCACTTGTTTCATTCCTGGTATGGGTAATTTATGTTTTTTTCTCTTTGTCAATCTTGCTGAAGTTTGTCGATTTTATTGTCTTTTCAAAGAACCAGTTTATTGTTTCATTGACTTTCTTTATTGTCTTTCAGTTTTCAATTCTTTGATTTCTGCTCTTTCCTTTTTTTCTGCTTGCTTTGGGCTTACTTTGCTCTTTTCTAGCTTTATGGTAGAAGTTTAAATTATTGACTTGAGACCTTTCTTTCTAACAAGCTATACCATTTAGCTTCATCTCACAGAATTTGATATGTTGCATTGTCATCTTTAAGTTCAAAATATATTCTAATTTGCTTTGACATTTCTTCTGTTGGATTCTTTTGGAATGTATTTAATTTCCAGGTAGTATTTTCTTACAGATTTCTAGTTTTTTCTGTTATGGTGAGGAATCCTTTTTTTTTTTTTTTGGTTAAAAAAAATGATAGATTTAGAAAACCAAAAGAGGTGCAAATTCAATGGTCTAATACTCTTATTTTCTAAATAAATAAGAACAAAGTAAATAGAAAGGTGGAAATAATAAAAGGTAGAAGTCAGCATATATAGGACTGAAGAACAGTGGAGAAAAAAATTAGTGAAACTGCTAACTGGTTCTCGAACAACAAAATCGTCTAATATCAAGATGGAAAGAAGAGTTACTACTATGGCTCTTACCTAAATTTAAAGGGTACCTAAAATAAAATTATTATGATTTTTATGCCAATAAATGAGGCAGTTTAGACAAATTGGGAAACTAAAACTCAACCAAAACTGACAAGAATAGACAAAACCAGAATAGCCTCAACATCTTTTAATGCAATTCAAATGATTAAATATCCTCCCAAAAGGAACACTTTAGTCCCATGGGTTTTCACTTGTAAGTTTTACCATTCAAGAAAGAAGTAACACCAGTCTTTTAACAGTCTTTCAGAGAACAGAGGGGGAGAGGAACACTTCCAACTTGTTTTATGAGGCCAGGGTTTTAATACTAAAACTTGACAAAAACATTACAAAACAAAATTACAGGACGGTAGTCCTCACGAACATAGCAGAAATCCAGAAAATATTAGCAGACTGAATCTAATGACATCTATAAAAGATAATAAACCGTTTTCATGTTTTTTTTTTAAGATTTATTTATTTATTGGACAGAGAGAGACACAGAGAGGGAACAGAAGCAGTGGGAGAAGGAGAGGGAGAAGCAGGCTTCCCGCTGAGCAGGGAGCCTGATGCAGGGCTCGATCCCAGGACCCTGAGATCATGACCTGAGCCGAAGGCAGACGCTTAATGACTGAGCCACCCAGGCGCCCCCTGTTTTCATGTTTTTAACAGATGGTACTGACAGCTAGATATTTATAAAGACAAACCCTGCCCTTCACAACATACACAAAAAAATAAAGAGTCATAGCCTAAAAGCAATAGTTTTAACACTTCTAGAAGGAACAAAATCTTTGTGACCTTAGATTAGGCAGATTTCCTAGAATGCAAAAAAAAAAAAAAAATTAAAAATATATCATCCAAAGACTCTTAAGAAAATGAAAAGACAAAGCACAGAATAGACAAAATTATTTGCATGTACAGAGCTGACAGAATTGCATGCAGAATATATAAACTTGCAAGTCCCATGTGAACATTTGCACGAAGGGTGGGAAAAACTGTCACCTGAACATAAAGCAAGGCAAGGCAGTGCACTGTATTAGCAATACTGACTACACTTTTTCACTGCTGTGCATTTGAGGGTTTCTTTTTTTTTTTTTTTCAAGATTTTATTTATTTATTTGAGAGAGAGCACAAGCGGGAAGAGGGTCAGAGGGAGAAGCAGACCCCCCGCTGAGCAGGGAGCCTGATGTGGGACTCGATCCCGGGACTCCAGGATCATGACCTGAGCCGAAAGCAGTCGCTTAACCAACTGAGCCACCCAGGCGCCCGCATTTGAGTGTTTCTTAAGGGCAGGCTCACTTAAGAGTATCTTTGATGAAGCCGTAAAAATTTTATCTCCTCCTCCTACATCTTTCAGAATCTGATAAAGTGGGAATTAGATAAAAAGCACTGTGCATACCAAAACATGGTTATTTTAATGCAGCAATGCAGTTATTTCAGTTGGAGTCTGAAGTAACTGTTTTCATGAATACCATTTTTAGTTGAATAGATGACTAAGACAAACTCTGGTTATTGAGTCTATGGTATTTGGTAGACATTTCTTAAAAATGAACAAAGTGAGCCTGTCATATTAACCTGACATTTGTTGCAAATAGTAAAATTGTAGCTTTCAAATGAAAATTATAATTTTGGCAAACTTGTATTTGTCATTGTGAGCTGGACATCTCAATAAAGACTTTTCTGATAATATTGGCGGTAATATCAACAAGCAGGATTTTTTTTTAAAGATTTTATTTATTTATTTGAGAGAGAGAGAGTGAGAGAGCACGAGAGGGAAGAGGGTCAGAGGGAGAAGCAGACTCCCCGCTGAGCAGGGAGCCCGACGCAGGACTCGATCCTGGGACTCCAGGATCATGACCCAAGCCGAAGGCAGTCGCTCAACCAACTGAGCCACCCAGGTGCCCAAGCAGGATTTTTTTTTTAATATATTGTATTCTGAAATGTGTTAACATTTTGAAGATTTGTATAACTCAATAAATGGTATTTTCCCATGACAAATGTATGATGCTACAAAATCCTGCATGGGTAAAATAGCCCTTCATTATTGTACCCTGTAACATTAAAATTGTACTAATCTTGTACTCAAGACCAATTTCAATGTTACAGAGTACAATTTTATTGATAAGGTTTCAGATTCCAGGTGGCAACAGACTATTAAGAAGTGATCACTTGTTGCATTGTTGTTAGTGTCAAGAAAGAATATATTATCTAATACTCTTCCTTTTCCAGCTACATATTTATTCTCAACTCTAGGTATGAAACTTGAATAACTTGTCCAATGTTACACATCTAGAAAATGGGTGGGAGAGGGGAGCCAGGATTTAAACTTGGACTATCTATCTGAAGACCCCATCCATACTCTTAGCTATTAGAATATAACAAACCATGAGTTAGGTATACTCCTGTGTTTGTGCCTAGAGCTGAGATAACACTCCCATTCTACCTTGGATAGACAAGATTCTCTTGTTACTTGCCATGTATGGGTGGAAGCAAGGAGAGATACATTTAAATCCACTGTAGAAAACAAAGATTGCAATTAAAGCTCGTGCCACTGGTCATTTTATACCAATCTAGTGAGATAATGTGGCTACTATTCCTTAATTGTATGACAGAATGGTAGGCATAAGCTGCCCCATTTCTTGCTACCAGTTAAGGACCAGAGTTTTCTTTCATATTACCAAAGACAACTTATGTGGTTTGTAGGATGGGCTCTGTTATTTGATGGTCCTAAGTATCTTCTAAAGTTTACCTCAAGGCTCATTGCTCCTTTCTGCATATTGTTCTTGTGTACATTACTACCCTGTTTAACAGTTTGGCATTCTACACCTCTAAGCACCCACTTTATGGAGTTCCAGCCTATCCTAACCTAACTGCCTTTATGAACCCCACATGCCACCCAAGCTGCAACAGTTGCCACACACAGCTTGCTTCTTTGTCTGTTTTGGTTCATGTTCTTCTCAATTTGGAACAGTCATTCTGTACCATTCCTATCAACAACATACCCATCTTGCAGGGCTCTACTCAGAAAACATCACCTCTATGGATCATTCTGTATTCCCATCTTCCTTTCATAAGGCATCAAAAAATATTGCCTAATAGTAATAACTGTACTCATCTTATTAAAGTTCTAGTAGATTGAAAACTGCTAAGTGCAACTCTTTAAGAACCCATAACCTATTAAATAACTTGATCTCAAAGATGATTTCCTTAATGAAAGAGTGTAAGAACTCATAAAAGTTAAAAATGAAATAGACCATGGTACTTAGCTCATGAACCACACTATGGATTAGCAAACTGAGATTGACCCATATTCACTATGAAAAGTTACCATTAGGGTTTGACATACAATCATATGTGTAACGAAGTCCCACAGTAAAATTTTATAAGCAAAGATTTCATGCTAGAGACTTTTCCTCCAAGGAATTCAAAGAATCTATAGTATCAGCCCTTTTTATATGTTCTATTACTTTCTCTTCTATG